TGATAAGGTGAAGAACCGATCAAATTTTCATAAAGGCAGGTCCAGCGGTCTCGGAGATCTAATAAAAAAAAGTAAAAAAAAATGCCATTTGGCGGTCAAAAATGATCAATAGACATATGCACATCAAATTATGAGATATTTTATAGAGATTTTAACAATAAGTATAATTTTGGCTTACATTCCTATGGGTTCCGTACCAATGTTTACGCGTTAGACGTCGACGCGGCGCTTACGCGGTTTGATATTTCGTCTTTATGCAGTTAAAGCAGTACGATTGCTTTGAAAAAAAGTTTAGATCTTTCAAAATATGTCAAAATAAAGAAAACATTTTTTTTCAAAAAAAAAAAAATTAACTAGCTGTAAGTGGAATTCTGTCTTAAGGCAATTAAGGCATCGTGCCTTAAGGCAAATTGCTGGAACTTCCCGTACCAAAAATTATTTTTTTAAAAACGATTAACATTTTTGAAAAAAATTTACTTCGAAAAAATAAGATTTTTGACAAACAATTAGACAAAAAATTACTTTTTTTTAAAAAAAATTTTTTTTAATTTTTAGTTTAGATCTTTCAAAATATGTCAAAATAAAGAAAACATTTTTTTTCAAAAAAAAAAAATTAACTAGCTGTAAGTGGAATTCTGTCTTAAGGCAATTAAGGCATCGTGCCTTAAGGCAAATTGCTGGAACTTCCCGTACCAAAAATTATTTTTTTAAAAACGATTAACATTTTTGAAAAAAATTTACTTCGAAAAAATAAGATTTTTGACAAACAATTAGACAAAAAATTACTTTTTTTTAAAAAAAAATTTTTTTTTTTTTTTTTTTTGAAAAAAATGTTTTCTTTATTTTGACATATTTTGAAAGATCTAAACTTTTTTTCAAAGCAATCATACTGCTTTAACTGCATAAAGACGAAATATCAAACTGCGTAAGCGCCCCGTCGACGTCTAACGCGTAAACATTGGTACGGAACCCATAGGAATGTAAACCAAAATTATACTTATTATTAAAATCTCTATAAAATATCTGATAATTTGATGTGCATATGTCTAATGATCATTTTTGACCGCCAAATGGCATTTTTTTTTTACTTTTTTCATTAGATCTCCGAAACCGCTAGACCTGCCTTTATGAAAATTTGATCGGTTTTTCACCTTGTCAATACAAGTAAAATGTTTTTTGAATTATTAAAATCGGACGCTCCGTTCTCTTAAAAACTGAGTTACCGTTTTCGGCACTTTTTGCCCCGTATCTTCGGAACGGCTAGACCTGACTTCACCAAAAACTAATCAGCACGTCTCCTTATCAATACGAATCGAATGTTTTTTGAATTATTCAAATCGGTTGATCGGTGTTCCCGAAATCGTCGACGAAAATTTGTATCCGCACATACATACACACACGCACACACACACACACACACACACACACACACATACATCCATTTTTTCTAAGGTATGCCAAAATATTCAGAAACCTTTGAAACGTCGAGAAATGCAAAAATTTTCATTTTCGATTTTTTTGCGATTACTATAACTTACCCTACGGGAAGTTAAAAAAAAAATTAAAAAAAACTTTTTCTTTTTCAAAAAAAGTAATTTTTTGTCTAATTGTTTGTCAAAAATCTTATTTTTTCGAAGTAATTTTTTTTCAAAAATGCTAATCGTTTTTAAAAAAAATAATAATTTTTGGTACGGGAAGTTCCAGCAATTTGCCTTGAGGCACGATGCCTTAATTGCCTTAAGACAGAATTCCACTTACAGCTAGTTAAGTATATTATTAGACAAGAATTAATTGAATATGTAGCAGCAGCAACCATAGGGTTTTGTCAACTAAATGACACAGTTATCAAATGCCAGGAAGCATTTTACAGGAATCCACAGGAGTAGATTCCACATTTTCAGCATGAAGCACTGACAAATTCAAAACTATACAAATTTTCTGCAATCAAACAATACGAGATAGTTTTATGTTTTCAAAATCCATCAAATCTTGAACAATTCGTCGGAAAATAAAAGTGGAATTAGAAAGATTCCATTCCCTTGTTGGATTCGAAGCGATGGGAACCTAGAGCGGTCCCATGACCCTATTCTCCCCGAGACACTCGCGTTAAGACGGAACAGCTAACAAATACAGAATACACCATACTACACGATTTAGCTTTCACGTATTTAATTCGACCTACGTTATACCGAGATTGACATTGCTGCACATTCTGGTTGCTGCCAGACAGCTAAGATCAAAATTCATCGATATATATATATATATATATATATATATATATATATGATTAATTTTCATGGCGTAGCATGTTAACGCGCCGACTTTGTGTGAACAGGGTCGCGAGTTCAAGCCCATGGACGACCTGATATCGTGCAGTAGCGATGTCTATTTTCACTTCAAAATATAGATAAAATATGTTTCGAATTGAAAATACCCCATTTCAAACACTGCGGGGTGAAATGGCAAAGGAAAATCTCTAACGTTTTTGAGTTAACTCAATTCACGGACCTGCCTTAGGGCAGTGCTATCCATATATAGGGAAGAGCAGGGCTTAAAAGTCCGACAACGATACCTCTAAAACAAGAAAAGTTAATAATATCTTAACAATAGTATTTGAAAGTAGGAAGAAAAGATGTATAACCAGCCATCACCTTGCTTCTTACGACATTGCTATCGGAAGATAAACAAAAATCTATAACAAAAGTATTTTCTTCCGTTGTTAGTTTTTTTGTTTGTGAGCACTGTTGTTCAATTTACGAGTCCTTAATATAACTTAAGGGGAGAGCCTGCTTTAGAGGCTTAAAAAATCTTCTATTTTTTTGCAAAAATGCCATCCAAAACTAGCCAAGAATATACCCCTTAAATTTCAGAAACAAATTCAAATTATTTTCAGGATTATAGAAGAAATAGTGAGCTTCAAGTATGTATACGAGCGGAACAAAAACTTCGACGTTCAATTTCTGGGTTTTTAATTTATTCGATTTTTCCTAATTGGCGGTAAAGATAGGAAAAAACAAAATTCATTGTATTTAGGATTAAATTCTATTCTAGTTGAACCTAAAAAAGTAATAATTAACCCACTTTTTAAACAATCTAAAGTGAAATTTTGTATAAAAAAACATGTTTTTTCTTTCAAGTTGCTAAAAATTGGCGAATTTCTCATTTTTTTTTAATTTTTTGGTTCAACTAAAATTTATACTTTTGAAAATATATATTTGTTTTGATTTTTTTGTTTCGGATGAAAATTGTGACCTGCATCTTTCCCGTCAAATGACACCTTTGTGGCATTTTGTGACATATATTTTAATTTAAAAAAAAGAGAATTATGTTGACACAATAAAACCTGAAAGTTTCGTTTCAATTAAATATTTATTTCCTTCCCTAAAAATTCCTCAAAAAAGCAATTTTTTTAAGCTTCTAAAGCAGGCAATACATAAGAGATCTTATGTAGGTGGGGTAAAAAGGATCAACTGAACCTCTACACTGGCAAAGGCGTAAACAATAAAAAATAAATAGTAGATGTAAATTTAGTTTTAAACAAATCATTTAAAAAAAAATAAATTAAAATAAAAAATATGCCAATGAAATTTATATTGCATTAGTTTAATATTGTAGCAATTATTTAATAAAATCTTTTTCTCTCAAAATAATGCCTTGGGTCTGTTTGCCACATGACTGATGAATTAGTGGTATTTTTTGCTCAAAGTCAAATTGAACCTTTGTGTCCCGCGCCACTCTACTCTTTCCTCAAAAAAACTGGTCATTTATTTATTGTAATTTAAACCCAAAAAAATTTACTAATTATTAAAAAAATCAATCAAGGAATCATAACATTTATCTTGCATTGCTATTATTAAATTTATGAAACCAAAAGTCTATTTAGTGTTAAACAGATATAAATTTATTATTATTATTGGTACAATTCTAATCTCAAATCCTGTTGGATAAAATTATCAAAGTCACGGTCCGTCCTTAATTTCTCCCGGAGAAAGAGACACGACTGACTGAAAGATCGCCTCTAAGATAGGTGGATAGACGAGACGAGGTTCCGATTGACCAGTTTTCATTTATTGTAAACACGATGATTGTGAAAAGAGTGATTGACTTAACCCGGTAACTACTTTCGATTTTTTATGAAATCACTGGTGCTCGCATCGAGTCGTGATAGATAAAAGTTTGTTCCGGTGGGATCTTATAGCAAAGGTCAGAATTAAATTTCATTTCACATTATTTATTTAGCCTAGCGCTAACTCAACCTATCTCAAGAGAAAATCAATTGTCATTTCGCGATTAAAATATATTCTACCTATCAATATTTTATATAAAATATTTGGACATCTTCCTTTCGCTGGTCAAATTCGCTATCCATTGCAATTGCGTGCTAAAATTTTATTTTTTATACAAACATATTGTTCGGACGTCTTTTCGATTTATTATTTTGGCAATGAAGGTGACAAACTTCAGGGCATTAAGCTTTACACGGAATGGTTGCTACCCCTGGTAGAGGGCGTGGCGGAGTGTTTTAATTTAACTAGTTGTTCATTTCTAAAAGTAAAGTCCGCTTAACAACATGTATAATAACCAATAAAAATAAATATATCTTCTTTCATTATAACTTAGTAACAAATCAGTGATTGTAATTAGAACTGCAACAAATACATAATATACAAACTTAGTAACTTAGTAACAAATCAGTGTTTAATACAGTCCACAGCTACAAGGGTTAAATTATAACCCAACAGCCTGAATTATCGAAGGAGAGTTTTAATAAATTCTGTAACAACGTAACATCAAGTACACATATTTTTTTATTATTTTGTGCAGATAAATTAGTCCCTTTTACGACAAAATATTGATTACAAAATATTCAAAAAATTATGCTCAATATACTAGAATTTTTTTAATTCTTCAAAACGAATTTAGAATGTTTGGACGGTCATCTGGTATACAATATTTGGATCTTACCTATCTATGTCTATGACATTGATGTGTATTATTACCTGTAATTCGACATGAGCTGGTAAATAAGGTCCATATCCAGAAATGCCACTGAATGGTGACAGCGTATAGCCTAATGAAAATCCATCGTGTAAAACTGGTTGCAAAACCGGAAAAGTTCTAGATGGTGTTAAATTCTCTGATGATGATAATAAGGTGTTATAAACGCGCGGCGTTCGCAGGAGACCTCCAAGTACAAACGGAAGGATTTGAAATCCTAGTAGAAGACAGGTGACCTGTAAAAAGATGTAACAATATTAGGTAAAAATACTGTAATAGCGTATTACAAAGAGTTTGAAAATTATTCTAGCCCATGACATTTGTATTTCACATGAGATATGTTGTGGAAAATACAAGATTGTAGTTATGGAGAAAATTTAGCAATTTTATGTAGAAATCGTAGAAACGACTTTGATATGCAAAAAGAGTTCTATTGATATGAATTTAATTCGTGACGGAGTGATTAGTGAGTAGATTTGCAATCTGACAGGTCTCGGGATCAATCCTCGTCACAAACAAACCTGATGTCAAGCAGTAGGGATATCAATTTTTAATAATAGAGAATAAAGATCTTAAATATGTTTCCAAGTAAAATAACCCTTCTCAGGTATTGCTGCACCAAATTGAATAATATGCTCTATTAGATGAATAATAACACTACAAATATCAAATGTGAATAGATTTACCGTTGAGTTACCATCGAAATATACGACGTGAGGAGAAGCTTCAGCTCAACAGCTTATAGAACGCAAGGTTCTGATTGCTGTTAAAATATGATAAAATCACTTCTAATAACTTCAAATGTTAAGACGGGTTTTGAAAATGCTGTTACATATTTTATTTCAAGACAAAAACGATTGCAGAATGTATAGACAACCAAAAACTATATGCAAGTGCAGATTACGGAATCTAATAAATGGCAATAAAAATATTCATGACAATATGGCAATTCATCTGTTGTAACGAGAAATATTACACTTTTTTTTAAACGGCGATCAGAACTACGTGTTATTTGAGTTGTACTGTTCTATAAGAGGGAAACCCAGTGGTTAACCACTCTTCTTTGCTATTACTATGAAAGTACTAGATATTATTTACATACATGTATAAAATAGTGCTAACTAGCATATGATGCAGCTATGACCGCGAAAGGCAATTTTCACCTGAGAGTATATTCGGGATTTATAACCTGGTGTAAATTTGGTATTATGCTGCTTGGCATAGAGCTTGATCGAGCTTGAAATAGAACAAGGGATTAGTTGGTGCTAGCCACGTTTTTCCCAGTTACACCAGAACTGGCTCAACTATTACATTTCTGATCAGATACAGCTTGTCATATGACAAAGATTCAAGAAAAAATATTTGTAAAATATCTCTGAAAATTAACATCAATCCATTTTATTAAAATCCCGTAGGGTAAGTTAAAAATTCAAATTTTTGCATACATTTACGTTTCAAAGAATTCTGAACATTTTGGCATACCTTAGAAAAATTGATGTGCATGTGTGTGTACAAGATTTGAATACAATTTTTCGTCCACAATTTCGACAGCACAGATCAATTGATTTGAATGCTTCCAAAAACATACCATTCATATTGACGAGAAGACATGCTGATCAGTTTTAGGCGTAGTTGTTTCAAAGATACGAGGCAAAAAGTGCCAAGAATGGTAATTCAATTTTTGAGAAAACGGAACGGAACGTCTGATTTGAAAGGTACAAAAAATATTTTACTTATATGGGCGGGAAGACTTTTTGGCAATGGCAGTTGTAGCCGTTTCGAAAGCACTGAGTAAAAAGTGCAATAAATAACAGCTTTTGAGGACATATTACTTGAGTTGACAGTGTGAAGAAATGATCAGTATTTGGGTAAGACAGTTCAACGGTTTCAAAATTTTGAAAACAAAAAAAACAATTCTCTTCAATCGGTAGCAGTTCGAGTAGAATGTATTCTAATTTGGTTTGTTTATTTTCTTATCGTTTCTTATTTTGCGAACATATATAAATACAGATCATCGCCCAAATATAAACACATTATATTAGATTCATATTCTTCCTAAACACATTATATTAGATTCCTATTCCTAAGTAGGAAAGAGAATCCTACTTGATATTCCATGACTCATCTATTTGACCTTGATAGAGAATTCAGTTCAGTACAGTGAACGACGTGTAACGGATAACACATAATGCTTATATAGAAATTATTATTTAATAAATTAGTGCAAAAAAAGAGTGTTGTTTGTTCATATTTCTAAATTAACATTATATTAGGTTTACAATACGATACAAACGATGAAATTTTCACTATCTATAATATTCTACATATTTAAAAATATTTAATACCATTGATAATAAACAATTGTTCTTATTGATTATTGATTATTTTTATGCCTCGAATGTTTAACTACCGTACGAAAAGTTTCTGCTATTTGCCTTAAGGCACAATGCCTTGCACTACCAGTTAAAGTAAAAATCAAACGTACGGACAGATTAAGACAAATAACAGTATCAGGCTTCATAAACGGAACTTTATGAATTCTCAATGTATCTGTTTACAATTCGGATGATTACAGGGTTGTCGGAGGCGGAATCGTGCCCTGGAAACCTTGCACCGCTCCATACAGTTCGCGTTAGGCCGAGCCCAGTGAACTAAATTCCGACATAACGTGTTCTTTGTAGCGCAGGCCGCGGTTTGATTTTTTCATAAACTTCCGCTTTCGAATCCTTCATTTATTCAACGGCATCGATTACTATTTTATTGTCTGGCACAGCTCGATAATAAGCTGGATTATTGATCGTAAGACAGATCGTAAATATATACGTAAGGTGTGGGAGATTGGATACACTACCAGCTAGATTTGTTTGTAATGTAAGTGTTTTGTAATAAATAATAAATAGTAAACTTCAGTTTATTTAAATTACCAATATGACTATTATAGTATGTGTTTAGTTGTCGACAAGATTAAAAAAAAACGTTGTTTGTTTAGTATCTGCTGATTAGTTTGGCTCAGCTCACGGACCAGCCCAAGGCAGTACCACCCGGTAAAGGCAGTAAAATGGGTAAAATTTCATATGTTTTTTAGAATTTTATAACTTAGCGACAAATGAATTGAAATTTTGAGAATAACATAGTATTTGCTTATTTTGATTATAAATAAAAAAATCACAACAATTTTGATACATTTGATAAAATAAGTATTCAGTTAGGAAGATGAACCAAAAAACTTCGATTGGAGCGCAGACTATCAAAGTTGATATTAAGACCTAAAATTTTCAGAATTTTTTTTTTATCGATTTGGAAGCATTTGAACCCTAGGGAGCAAGAAAATTCAAAATATCCATATTAGATCACCCTAATATATATTACTCATAGAAGAACTATTTTCATTCCAGGAACATCTTCATGCTTCTTTAAAGAAATGTTTTCAAAAATTAAATCCACCAACCCGCCTAAATTTAACACTAACTTAGTTTATTAAATAATTTGCAAAAATTGTGACAAAAAATACATTCATAAGATAATGAGACAACATGAATTGACTTTACTCATCATAAAAACCGAAGTTTTCAAAGCACTCTAGTCTAACATTCTGCTGAAAATTCACAGTATAACAACTTAAAACATTGCAGCTATCAAATTTCCAGGATCTAAACGAACCAATTTCTTTGTATTCTCATCAGAAATAATTAACTTGGACAACAAAATTTTTTCTCTAATAGGTACACTTGAAATTACTATGCATATATAAACTTAATATCTCACATTGTTAAATAATTCTCTAATTCATAATAGTATTTGTTTTTTCAAAAGGTGAGTATTTGAATAATTTTAGTTTAAACCAAGTTAGTTAGAACAAAATAATATTATTCGATGCTACAAAAAAGTTACAATCGTTTTTCATCATATTGAACTAATTTCTTAGGTTATGTCGTCGTTACTACAATCCATTTTCCAGAATAATATTTCTCAATATAAAAATAACTACTATTGAAACAAAAAGCAGATTTTATGATTTTCGAGCTATGAAATTACAGCGATCGGAATAAAATATATAAAGCCAACATTGCCATTTCAATATTCCCTGAATAGTTAATATTTAGATAAAGTTATTTGCACTATTTTTGAATAACTAAATAAATAATACAAATTTTGTACTACTAGCACTGTAGTAGGGTAGGGCGGGGCTAGTTGAGCAAATTTTTACTTAAACGGATGTAGCTCCTCAATGAAAAGTCTCAATAAATTGCTATACGGCTTAATGGATTTGTTGTTTATCGCATAACAAAAATGTTAATACTAGTTTTTGGTAATAAGTAAAATTTAAAAGCTACAGCTGTTTGAATGCAAAAAGTCAAGTATGCTCAATGTACCCCATAGGTGGGGCAAGTTGAGCACTAAGAAAGTATAATAAAATTATAGGTTAAATGTCGATTAGAGATGAAATAAAATAAGTTTTTAATAACCAGTTCTATATTTATAGTCTTTATTGACAGAGAAAACAAAACTTATAGTAATTTGCTTTGAATAATTAACGATTAATTAACTTAGGAATTATTTTACCATTATATTCAGTATTTTTGTTTAAAATCATTATTTCTTTATATCATTACTCATAGACGTAGCTTAAATCTTAGAAATAATAATTAATTTCTGGAAGTTAATGGTAATTGTCTTAGTGACAGAACAAGTTTAGCAACTATGCTCAACTAGCCCCAACTCGGAATTTCAAAATAAAAATGAGTTTATAAAAAAACCGTGTGAATTATACCCAGAATCTCTATGCATATTAAAAGTACTATAATTATATGAAAGAATAAAATTTACCTGGTTGAAAATAAATAACATTTGACTAAACTAGACGAAAACTCGTGATAAATGACTTTTTTACTTTTTGGTCTCAAAATAAACAAAACGCCCGTGAGCCTCACTCATTTGTCCAGCGGCCACTAGCGATTGCGGGATGTTTATTTCTTCCAAACCTCTATCTTTCCGCCATATAATGTCTAAACGGACGGTGAATAGTTTTCGAGATATTTCGATTGCTCAACTTGCCCCTATGCTCAACTAGCCCCGCCCTACCCTAATATAGTGTTAATTAGGAATTTTATTGATTTTTGTGCAATAGTTAAAATTGTTTGTAACCTGTGTTTGGTAAATTAGTTTAGGTCAACAATTTAACTCTTAAACCAAATTCAATCGTTTTATGCAAATAGGTATGATCAATTTGCAGAAG